AGAGGTTGTAATCTCTTCCGACATTGAACCACCAGTCTGTTTATCTCAGCTTCCAAACTCTCATGGGTATATCCAACATATATGCCTAAATATTTATATATATATTAACTCTCTATATATTTTTACCGTTTATTTTCAATATAGTGGGCCTCTGACTTCTACATTCAAACTTAGTTTTGTCTTCATTAACCACCAGTCCCATATGGTGACACAGGTTTCCGAAATTGTCCAACACTGTTTGAACCTTTGAAATATCTTTGCCCTGAAACAAAATATCATCGACATATATGATCGGAGTTACCCCATTTGAGTATCTCTTAGATGCTTAGTACATAAATACATTTAATCGCCAGAATCGCACCAAAATATTGTGAATATTAGGGTTTACCCAAAAAGCTGAATAGAAAACCACGACCTAGCCTAACCTTCTTAGTGTATGAGTACAAGCAATTTATTGCTTCTTAAATACAATTAGTATTTAACCTATAGCTATATTGATATTACAGTTTTAGAAAACTAATAAAACAAAACTAAAAATCTTTCAATAAATTGTAAAGTAACTCCGGATATTTTCGAATTTTGTATAATATCTATTGTTTAATAAAAGTGAAAAAGAAATTCTTTCTATTTAAAACTCGAGTATATAGAATTAAACATGAAAACTTCATTTTTAAATTCTGAGTGTCTTAACAGAAAACAAGGAGAAAGTATTGTGAGGTAGATGTATAGGGCACAATTAAGTGTAATTTTGTACAATTCTTAACAGTCTGAAAATGTACTTATTACACTTAATATTAAAAACGGTACTGTCAATTCGGAGGAAGCGTTGCAGTAGTCAAACTCATAGGTGTGTATTATAGAGGAAGTATTGACAGATACTGAATGACAATACTGATACTGATTGACAGATATAAACAGATACAAACATGTTATATCTGTTAAGGTTTCTTGTGTGGACCAGTTAGGGGGTCCAACGTGTGAACGGGTATTGGTCTACGGTATGGACATATTAGGGTGAAGGATGTTAACCTCTATGTACATAGTGGACTGTGATGTTTATCAGTAACCTGGCTTTGTAATCACGGTAAAAATAAACTCATTACCAGTAATTGACTGAAATGGGAAATTAATTCATTATGTAATTGTTCACAGACTATTTATATATGATAAATACTAAGTTTTTGGGCTTCTGTGGTCATTCCTTATACTCAAATGTGTACCAAGAGACGAACAGTATATCTCTAAGAGTCTGGGGCCGGATTCAGGAAGGTACTTACGAAGGTTTTTCCTCTTAGCTAAGAACGTTTTCCCTCTTAACGCCTTCGTGGCGGCTACGTCCGTATTCAACTAGCTACCCTAAGTGGAAAAACCTTCGTAAGTTCATTCCGCGATTTAAGTGTGGTTTCGACCACTCTTAGCTTTACGTAAACTGGATATAAGTCATTTTTTCTCTACTACATAACACTGGGATCGATTTATGATATTGGAACATGACCAAAATATTATAGCTGGTGAATCTAGTGAAGAAGAGTCCTTCGTGTTAGTTATATATGCATTCTCTGCTTGAAACTTGAAGTAAAAATGTGTTTGATGATAATATAATTAGTTTTATAATAGCAACATATTATACCCGTAGTTATTAAGTAAATAAACACTGGTGAACATGAAATATGAGAGGTGATGAGCCCTGCCTGATGGGATCATTTGCTATCACCAAATGCCCCTGTTCACCTAGTAGTAAGGGTGTACCTTAGCTATACATACCCATTTCTAATGTATTTAGTTTGGTTTTATTTTGAAATTAAATCTGGGTGAGACATAAAATAAAAATATGCTGCACAAATGATGTTAGGTAAGGAGAAGGGTAAAAATGTCACAAACTTTATTCATTGAATACTTAAAGCTATAATTATGACTATATAGATTATTAAAAAAGAGAGAGGGAAGTAGAGGTCCAAGACCTCTTCCTGATATACAATTTGGGTGTGGAACAAGTAATTATGAAAAGAAGGCACCATGCCGGGAAGGCTATGTAGCAGTAAGGCAGTGAGGTGAGGCAGCTACTTATTTGAGAAATGCTTATTTTATTTACCTTATAAGCTGAGGCAACTTACTTTATTTGAGGAATACTCAGCTGATTCCTCTACATTTAGCATGGAACAAATTTGTGTCCAAGACCTCTTCCTGTTACTCAATTTGGCTGTGTGTAACCAAACTAGAAGTGCTCTACAAATCAAGGGACCCAGAATGTGGAATGACCTCCCGAATCATGTCAAAGGCTGTACCTCTCTCAACCAGTTTAAGAGTTAAACCAAGTAATGCCTAATTAACTCCATGTAACCTAACTTACCTCTTAAATGTCAACCCATGTCTTGCTATTTTTTAAACAACGCTGTTCACCAACATGTGCAATTGCTGATTTATGCTATGTTAACCCCCCTTTTTGTATTTTTTATTCCTTCTTTCAACACAATTTATACCTAATCCCGATTACTAAGTTTTAGTCTGTGTTTTTTCCCCCACACCTTGCCCGAAATGCTATGAGTATTAGTGGCTTTAGGTATTGTATGTACTAGCTCTGTCTATAAATCCAACATTATGTTTGTAAATCAACTGTATGTACTTTTCCTGAATAAAATGTATTTATTATTTATTTTTTAATCAGTAAGTATTAAAAGAAGGCACCAAGCTGGGAAGGCTATGTAGCACCATTGTGTGTAACAATAAACCAAATTTTTTTTTAACAAATAATGCACCTGTATGGTAAAACAAATCCTGTCAGCTGTAAAAATATTGATGCAGTTATTTAAATGAAAAATATAATGAAAGAAATATTACTGGTTTATTTTTATCCTATCTTTTTGTACTGTACAGTATATCCAAGGAAGTGAAAAATTGAGACATAATGCACAATTTAATGAATGATTAGCATGGATTAGCAGTTCAAAAGAAATATGACTATTACATATCAACATGAGATCTTAATGATCCATGGTCAACATGATTTAATAAGGATAATACAGTACTGAATTTGTAATAATACAAACTATAATTTAAAATCTTTATTACTGATTTTTTTTTTATTAAGAAGATTAGGTATACACAGCAATGTACTACTACCCTATTCTATATGGAATATTACAGTGTAGATAAAAAACTAGCTATAAGTTTATCTAATACTCCCATCTCACAGGATGGTTAGACATACTGTACATGGAATCAATTTAGAAAATACCAGCCTCAATACAAAAAACAAATCAACTCTGACTAAACAACTCTAAGCAATTTTCACAAGAGGTAAGCACTGAATCATGGAAACATTATATTATAATTACTCTTACCAGTTTCTACAAGACTCCTCTCAAACAATGTATTTTTAAACATGTTTAGGTATACACAGCAATGTGCTGCTTATCTATTCTGTATAAAGGACCACACAGTGTAGATCAAAAACCGGCTACAAGCTCATCCAACATCCTCACCTCACAGGATGGCCAGTCATACATGGAATTAGGAAAGAACAAAATACTTAATGCTGATCTATTAGCCTCCACTGGCAAAATCTGGGTGCAGCACAAGAATATCTTCCAATATTCCTGAGTGTATGATGTAATTACAGAGCTCAAAATACCTCATACCATTTGGTATGAAGTCACTGATAACAGGACAATCACAGATATAGTGTTGGAGAGTATGTTCTCTCAAGTAGGACTGAAAACAGATGTTTTTTTCCACCAAGAGGGCTATAAACCCATGGAACCGCCTACCCGCTGAAGCCGTAAATGCCAAATTCCAGCTAAAAAATATCATTAAGACAATTGGCGGTCCTTTAACAAGCCGCCGGCTTTCTGTCCTCTTCGAGGCCACCAGATAGTTAGTGGCCCTTGGGTTCTTAGAATTACGTAGGTAAACTCTTAGAATTACGTAGGTAAACAACAAATGTAACATATTTGTTTACTACAATGTCGGTGCTGGCTGTAGAAGTTGAAAAAACATTGTTTTACTTCGAAATATAAAATTTCTTCCTAAGTGGACCTTATTGAATCGCATGTAAGCATCTTCTTAGGGCGCACTTAGGAACCTTCGTAGCAAACCCACTTACGAAGAAATACACAGAGCTTCCTGAATCGGTTAGGACCCATTTAGATTATGCAGTTCAGTTTTGGTCGCCGTACTATAGAATGGATACAAATTCACTAGAACACGTCCAGCATATGATGACAAAGTTAGTCCCGCAAATTAGAAACCTCTCATACGAAGAAAGATTGACAAAGCTTAAATTGCATTAGCTGGAAAGGCGAAGAGTTAGGGGTGACATGATAGAGGTGTTTACTGGTTTGGTAACAGGATTGTGGATTTGTGGAACCATTTACCGCGTAAAGTGGAGGTGGGGTCCGTTAATTGTTTAAAGCGTGGGGTGAACAATACGCTATACGTATTAGTGGCTTTAGGTATTGTATGCACTAGCTCTATAAATCCAACATTATGTTTGTAACACATCATCTATGTATGTACTTTTCCCGAATAAAAATTTAAATTTTGAATTTGACATGTATGTGGGTGGGATATTGCGTGGTTATAAATAGGAGATGCCTCGTATGGGCCAATAGGCTTTCTGCAGTTATCTTTAGTCATATGTTCTTATGTATTAGGTGATAGGAAACGTGCCGAAGCTGTACATGCCAAAACTGTTAAATATTAAAATCCAGCTGGAAAAACTCCTCACGGTAAATAGGAACAGCCTCGTATAGGGCAATAGGCCTTCTGCAGTTACCTTAATTCTTATGTTCTTATATAACATAATGATGTTATATAAGAATATAAGGTTCAGGTTCATGATACAGGTTGAGGAGCTTGTACACCAATTGATTGACAGCTGAGGGGCGGGACCAAATATCAAAATCAAAAATCAAAATCAGAATCAAAATGTTTATTCAGGTAAAGTACATACATACAAGGTGAGATACAAACATTGATGGATTTATTGATAGAGCTAGTATATACAAAGCCTAAAGCCACTATTACGCAAAGCGTTTCGGGCAGAAATAGTCGAAGCTCAGCCCCGTAAGCACAACTAGGTGAGTCCATTGGCATGACCATTAGGGTGTGCGCCATCTATATTTTGACAGCAGCACTACACATTAACCCCGCGTTATTCTATATCCAATACATGAGTGTTATGGTCAGTTGCTAGTCTATATATGTTTCTGGACAAAGTAAGTGATGTGAGGCTTGTTGCGGGCCAAGATCGGTAGTAACTGTTTGAATTGTGTTGGAAGAGGATGTGTAGGCCAGTGTGGTAGACTAGCGGGTAAGTAGCGAGTCTTGTAGCTTTTTAAAGTGCGTCTTTGTAATTCATTTGTGCTAATAACCAATTTTCGGCTGTTTAGTTAGGTTTTGTTTGAGATTTATTTAATGGGTACAGATAGTAATATAAAGGGGGGGAGGGAAATTGTGTAGATAAAAGTAAATTACCTGTGTAAGCTACATACGGTTTGAAACGATTGACCAGATCGTTATCTTGCGGAATAACTTAAGCTTTTTTAGGGTTGATGGATGTTAATCTTCGTTTGAAGAGCTGTTAACTTGACAGTTAAGGAAAGTTCCAGCTGTGTCTGGGTACAAGTGACAGGATGAACAACCCAGTGGGTTTTCTTCCTCTTGGCGAGTGTTGTACATGCTGCTATGGCGGTGTCCACTCAAAAGATTAGTGGCGCTGCCCAATGAACTCGCCCCTCGGGGCAAAATTTAAAAAAAAATGCCAGAACCCCTAGTGACCTTGAAAAGGCCATGAAGTCATGGTCCTGTCAATTCCCCCACTTTTGAAAGCCGTTTAAACAGTGCGGTTTCATAGGCTTATACCTATGTGTGAACATGTTCTAGCAACCACGTTAGAAGCTTAATCTGATTGTTTTGAGCTTTTGAAAAGCATCTTCAGCTGAGGCCGGCCCTTTTATTACGCGTAACGTGCGGCTGGAGTTTTTAAGTGTACTTCTCGGTTAAGGACAAAGACAAATGGTCATGTATCGAATAAATTAGGGAAAGTTTGAGATCTATCTAAAACTGTCAGAAGTGATAATGGAGATAACTACGTTTTTATTCTGTATTTACTAAACATTATCAGCCGAACAAGACTTTGGGAGTACAGGTTGGATAATTCAGCAGTTACCAGGGAGGGTGATGGTTTATTTAAACAAATGGTAACTCTAGTCTGATAGTTTTTGCCAGGGTGCTTAATAAAAAAGGGCAGCTTTGATAGGTTTATAATTTATTAGTCGGGCAGTACTAGACGTGTGAAGGTACTAATGTGGTACCAGTTTCAAAGGAAAAAGAGAATTTTAAAGAATTTTTTTTATAAATTATTCTAAGGTTACCTGATCAACCAGGCTGTGACTCATACGTCAGGCTGCGAGCAGCCAAGTCGAACAGCCGGGTTGATCAGTCCAGCAACCAGGAGGCCTCGTCGACGACCGGGCCGCGGGGACGCTAAGCCCCGGAAGCACATAAAGGTAGGGTTTAATTTCCTTGTCAAATTAACGGCCAATTAGCTTGGTTTATTGTGGGAAGTTACTTTAATCTTAAAACTACAAATATTTGTATTCCTCTTGGAAAAATCATACATAAATTGCATAGTTCTACTATTAGCTGTTAATGATAACACTTGCATAGTTGATGAAATGGTGATAAGGTTTGTGATGTGTACCATGGCTTTAGCGAAACTCTTTTTGATAGTGCCAAATGGAAAAAAAGATAGAGGCTCAAAATATTGGGTGCTGTATGAAGTTTAGAGCATTGCTATACCAAAGTGGTTAGTATAAATGGTGTTAAAGGAAATATTGTTGGTGCCTCAATGCTATTCTGGGACCTCGGTTGAAGATGTTGGAGCAGGAATAATTGCAGAATTGCAAAATAAAAAAAATCGAAAGAAATACTTGCTATCACTTAGAGAGGATGGTTTTGAAATGGTATAATTGCCAGATGCAGTCTAATGCTGACAAATAAAAGGTTTTGAGGCTAGGAAATGATACAGATAAGAGCTACATGGTGTGGATTACAAGAGGGACCAGGGTTTGATAAAAAATGCATAAATGTTCATAATTGGGGCAAATGGGACGGTAATTTGTCAAAGCACTAGTAATAAAATACCTGGTATTCTCCAGGTATCTTGCTCTTGTTAAGCCCCATTTAGGTGATGCAGTTCTGGTTGGCATGCTATAGAACGGTTATAAAATAATGCATTCAATGTAGTATGAGTTAACCCCACAAACTGGGAAAAGTGTTGTATGAAAAGATTGAAAAGGCATAAATGCATGCCTCTAAAATGGCAAAATTAGTGACATGATAGGTGTAAAAGTGGACAAATGGACATAAGGGAATATTAATGAGGTATTAAGAGTATGCAAAAGACGACCCCGAAACAAAGGGTACGAATTGGATAGTTTAGCTTTAGGAAAGACCTGGGTAAATACTAGTTCGACAAAAGGGTTTTGGTTGAACAAATTAACGCGTAACAATGTGGAAGTGGGATCCCTAGATAAACCCACAAGGGCCGTGATGAGGATTGTAACCTGCGTCAAAGAGCATCACTCTGCTTTAATAGACTGAGCACATGGTAAAATCTTTTACCATGTCGTAGCTCAATCGATTAAGGCAGCGTCTGGTATGCTCTCGGACGCCAGTTAGAATCCTCGTCACGGCCCTTGTGGATTTGTTCATGTAATGCATCACGTTGATTTGTGATCCCTAGATAGTTTCAAGCGTAGGTAAATTGTTCAGTATAAGTGGGTGGATATAAGGAGCTGCATTGTATGGGCCAACAACCCTTCTGAAGTTACCTTCATTCTTATGTTCTAACCTGCTTAGGCCTAGTTTTAATCGGAAGCTAATATGGCTATTAACTAAAGTTAATTAAAATATTTAAATAGTGAAAGCCAAAGTTGATAACAATGTATACTGTTGACTGAAGTTAAATAGGTGTTGCATCACCATACCTAAGCTTTAATCTTGGTAATCTAGTTTACAGCACCCCTTATAGAAAGACAGCTGAAACGGCTGAAACATCGGGAAGAAACGGAAGAGACCAATATTAACAAGACCTCGTCGTGGATAGTCGTTAACGACAGGGGTCTTGAAGACCTTGACAAGGCTGCCTACAGACGCCCTAAGGACAGCAAATTCATTTGCCGTGTTGGACGACAAGTGCTGTGGTGAGCCTGCAGTTCACTCGAAACGGAAATCGGCGAGGAGCGGCGAAGCGCAGACCCCTCAGGCTTCTCAGAAAGTTAGAGGTACCAACGCGAATTTTGGTTGTGGGAGATTCCCAGGTGAGGTATTTACAGAACGTTTTGTGCCAGAGATAGGGGGAACAGATTAAGGGTTTGCTATCCGGGAGCTGGAATTGGTGATTTTGTTGGAAACATGAATGATATTATGACGGGTTTGTTCCCATTATTTGTATTAGTGCAGGGGGTAATGATGTTGGACGAGTTAGGAGTGAGGAACTAAGGACGGCCATTGAATTAGTTAGGAGCAAGTGAGGAATCCTGATATGTCCCTTTCTTCAAAGCAAGGGAGTGGGTAATGAATGGATGTTGAGGTCACTTGGCGTCACTTCTGGCTGGAAAGATATTGCAAATCAAATGAAGTATCTTTCATAGACAACTGGAAACACTTCTATGGAAGAAATGAAATGTATGCTCGTGATGGGGTGCATCTATAGAGGGCTGGGGTTGTTGCTGTTGCAAACTGGTTGGAACCAGTGGTTAGGTGTTTGGGTTTAAACTGTTAGTGTTATGGGAATTGATTTGGAGGAAGGAGGTAATAAAAGTATGTGTTCGTGGGAGAAAAGAATTGGCAAAATGATCAGGGAAAGATAAGGGCCTCAAAATAACAATTCACTTAGGGTATATTGCACTAACAGTCTAAGTCTAAGAAATAAAATTAACGAATTAAGTGCTCTTGTCTGCACAGAAAAATTATTGCACATGCTGAAACATGGATGAATGTAGAAAATAGAGGACTATTAGCTGAACATAAAATAAATGGATTTAAACTGTATCAGATATATTAGACGAGGGGGAGTAGCCATGTATGTTGGAGACAATTTGAAATGTAGTCTCAACGAGGGAATAAAAACTGAGCCACCCGCAAACTATTTGGATAGAATTAAAAGAAAGCAAATATTATAATAGAAGTTATATATAGGCCACCAAATTTAGACAGAATGGAAGCAAAGCATCTATGGGATGAAATATCTAGAGCATCTAGATCTAATAGTATTTGTCATGGGTGACTTTAACTTTAGTGGAATAAACTGGTTGAACAAAACTGAATAGTGAAGCAAAAGATTTTCTAGAATTAATTGAAGATGGTTTTCTTACGCAACACATTGAGGAACCAACGCGGGAAAATATTTTAGATTTAGTGTTAACAGGGAAACGCAAATTAATGACATCGAAATAGGGAGTGAGCTAGGGAACAGTAATCAGAGAAGTCAGATTTAGCATGGAATGGAATAGACCTGTAGGAAAAAATTCTGTTAGTGCCAGATTTTCGAAAAGCTGATTTTAATAGCCTAAGAAATTTTTTGGGTCAAATAGATTGGGAAGTCTTGGGTATGGGGTGTGGGCCGGTCTTGGAGAGACATGAACCCAGCAATAGGTGACGTAAAAGGGGATTTCGATGTGGATTTAATATATAACTTGTTTAAGAATATTCTAAAAGCGCAGGAATGTAGTATACCATACAAATTGAATTGATCAAATACTAATGACCCAAAGTGGATAACACAGAATTTAAAGAACCTTATCGGAAAAGAGAGCTTGGTACAAAAGGATTAAGTATGGGGAAGTCGGTTTAGAACAGGAATTCATTAAACTGGTTAGAAATATTAGTTTCTTTTTGCTTTCCTAATCTCTCTGAAGTTCGCATAGCAGAGCAAGTAAAGTAAAATGCTAAAGGGTTTTTTCAGTTATATCGAACTAAGACTAGGGAAAGGATAGGTCCATTAAAAACTGACAGGTCAAATAAAGGACAATGACAGAGATTAGTATTTTTAACAAATATTTTATCTGTATTTACTAAAGATTACTAAATTGCCTTCTGGTGCCCATTTGAAAACTGATCCACTTTGTGTTTAAAGGTTTTGAGTGATTTTCATTTCTTTGGTCCTGCATAAATTTACTCAAAATATTCCTAAAATGTGCCATTTTTGTTAGTCTTTAATTAAATTGTATTTGCAGGTGGTAAATTGTTTCTGCTGCTACAGCTTTCCAGCCCAAGTTGTTGACTGGCTAGTCTTTTACTGCTTCCCAACATGTTAGTGAGGTCCTGAGCTGATGTACCCTATGGCGAAGAGTGAGGCACTAGTTTCCTGAAGTAATGTATAGCATGAGATGGCACCCATTCTAAACAGCAGCCGGCACCAACTCTGGCCGACGTTGGAGTGGACAAGACCCAGATCCTGTGGGGAGGAAAAGTCTACACTAAACTGTGCAAGGTGCAGATAATCTGACCCCCCCCCCCTCCCTTTGGCAGTTTCTCGGGTACCCCCCTCTTTTCCGTTTCCTTATTTTGTAAAGCTTTACCTTAAACGGCAGCATAGCTTGGCACTCGTGGCTTTAGTGGGACTGTTCCATTGGATTGTAACTGTGGGTGGGGGGGAAAGCATCTAGGTTTGTTCTACATTGTAGTCTCTTTAAACCATTTTAATGTTGCACTCAACTTATTCTTGACAGTTTTGCAAACTTATAGATTTTCAGTGTGAAGAAATTGGTACCATCCTGTCTGACTTGCAATGTACCGTTTTTTATTAATAGCAGTTTCATAAAGAATGACTTATTGGCTGGTATTAAATATCATCCAAAGCAGAAAATCGGTAAAGTGTCCATGCCTTGGTATGATTAGTTGGGCGAATGAGTGTTGTATAACGGCTTTCTAAAGTGTAGACTTTTATTTTCAGGGTGTTGGTTTTTCTCACTGAAGCTACCACTCGTGCAATTTTGATTGGTGATTGACTTAGTCCTCCTCGTGATCTACGGCAAGGTAATATTTTTAGCATTTATATTATGCTGCACATGTTAAGCTTTAGTTTTAAATTAGCTTGTCTTCCAATTACATGTGTTGATGACCATTTTTTGTATGGGCTTCATACCCTTCACTTTAACATGAATTAACATCCTTAAGTCAGCCCAAAAAATTAGAATATATGGTTCTGCGACGTTTAGTAATTTGTAAGACCTTTTCACTATTTTTAAACTATTGCTTTTATCCATTGTAAGTTATTAAATGTGCTTTAACTTACAGTAGTGTGGTAGGTTTGGAAAGCTTTAAAAAAATCCATGTATCTAGTTGCTGGAGCTCCTATATTAGGAGCTTAACTTGCAATGTAAATTTGCATGATAGCCTTGTTTATATAATTTTGGGGGAACCAACACTTTAAATATTTAATGGAAATGGTGACTGAATCCAATAGATACCAAAAAATAACCAGAGCAAAGTGTACTTACAAAAGTAGGCAATTGTTCCATTAAATTTAGATAAAATTAATCAGTTTGGTAGTTCCAGGGAGATTTGTGTAGTCGGTCTACTATTGTGAAATGTAGTTTTATTAATTATGCCAATGCTGCTTTTTATAGTCTTTGCACCTGTTTCCTAAGATTGACAGCATGAGGTGAATCTTCCAGCTTCGGTCTTGAAGTTGTAAATAATTAGGTAATATAACTTTTATTTATAAGAAAATGAAATTAAAAGTGTAGCATAGGCTTGTATCTCCCTTGGGAGAGTTGTCAAACCCATAGATATTTCCTTGTCCAAATACTTTAAAGGTTGTAAGTTGTGCCTATTGTAATTTAGAAATAACGTTTTGTCAGTCTTGAAGGGCATGACAATGATTAGGTTTATAATCAAGAATCTTGGCGTAGACAACAAAATTGATTCTACTAAAATACTAAATTGTATAATTATAAATTAACATTGAAGCACAATGAATGTGGTACTGCAGTTTAATAATTATGGTCCACAATTTTGTTAAAAATTTGAGTGAATATTTCCAGAAAGTTGATTGTGGCCATACCTGTTGGAGTAGTAAAGACAAACGTTCAAATTGCTCTTCTTGATATAACCCCCAAGCTGTAGGCTGCTGTTCGATTAAGTAATCGTATTTTACTTATGTAAAACTGGCCACTGTAATGATTAATCTCTACTCGATATACAGGCTCAATAGTCTCTGTAGTAAATATACTCTATTGTCAATGAAGTACAAAAGTCTTAGGTGATACATTGACTGAGGAAAATCAAAGTTCATTGAAATAAATTTATTGAGGTAAAATCCAGAGGGATGAGGTAGCTAAGGCAGTTCATAACTTGAGATTAGTGGTAAATGTGACATTGATCAGTGCATTGTTACTAGATTCTTGACCCCCTCCCCGCTCAGCTCGTTGTCGCCGTGTGGGGGCTTCGTGGGCGGCTGCCGGAGTGTGATGCTCCTTCGGACAGTCCTCAGTCCTTTTCTAGCCTTGTGCTCCTGCTGCCGTCCTCTCCAATTCTGCTGGGCACCTTTTCCTTTTCCTTCTGTTTCGTTTTTCTCCCCCCTCTTCTCCTATCTGCTTGCCGTTTCCTGCCGACCTTTTGCTCGTTCTGGTTCTTCCATGGACTTCTTCTATTTTGACGCCCGGGTGCTTGAGGAGGCATACTCATGCACCCGTAGAACTGCAGTACCCGACGTCGAGAGCGAGGGGAACCTTTTATTGTCAATCCCCACTTCGTCACTGAACCCGATCTCGACGGACTGTCGGTTTCTTAAGGTGGCGTTTGTGGGGCGTATACTCACGACGCACCCCTAGGAGGCCCCGACAAGATCGGCGATAGCTTCTTGTTGGGTGTCCTGCCTCTAATTGTGGCTCCATGGTGGGTGTGGGGGCACATTCGTGAGTGAATTTTTCTTTTCGTCACGATGAAAACCCCTGTTTCGGCTGCTTCTGGCTTCCCTTCTCAGGCTCGTGGGGTGGGCGACCAAGCCCCCGAGTCGGTCCGTATTGGAAGACTGGGCTCTGTAGCCTCCGCTGCATTGGGCCCCGTCCTTGCTCCTCCTTTGGCCTCTCTGACTCCTTCCCCTGGCTCCCTTCCCTCCTCTGTGGTTGGGTCGAGCCCCAAGCCCCCAGTGGTGACTACCTCGTCCCCTGGCGTGGCTCCTTCTCTAGTTGTAACTACTGCGCCTTTTAACCCCTCTCTGGGGGTTCTCACCGCCGTCTTCGTCACGGCCGCCCTCGCTCGATTCCTTCCAGTTCTGCTACCTATCAAGCCTTGTTTGGTCCCGCTTCGTGGGCCAAATATTTTGATCTCCTCCCTCTTGATTCTGCGCCTCCTGACGATTTCTCCCTCCATCGACATCTCATTGATTCCGTGGATGCCTCCATTACTTTCAACCCCACTCGTCTCGGTACACGTGTCGTTGCTGCTCCTTCTCAGGATGCTGCTTCCCGCTTGGCTGCCTTATCCTGCCTTGGCGAGACCCCCGTTCGGGTCTCGAAGAACGTTCAGTTGAATGCCAGTGTTGGCACTATTTTGCTCCCGCCCCCATGTTGCGACCGGTGTTCGGGACCTACGCGACTGCCACGACGATATTCGACATGTCCTCGCTGCCCAGGGCCATTCTATTCTCCAGGTGGACACGTTTACTCGTCCCCCTCGTGGTAGTCGCCGTCAACCCCTCCGGGTTGTGAAGATTACCTTTGATGGTAGGACCCTTCCACCCTCTGTCATTCTTGCTGGTGCCAGGTGCTCTGTCCAGGAGTACATTCCTTCTCCTCGGCTCTGCAACAAGTGCTGGAGGTTTGGGCATGGTGCCCTCCGCTGCTCCGGGACTGTCTCTCTCTGTCCTTTGTGTGGTGGCGAAGGTCACTCTAAGTCGGAGTGCGCTTCTCCCCAGGCTCGTTGCCTCAACTGCGGTGAGGCCCATCCTACCTTCTCCCGTGCGTGTGTCCATTACAAGCTTGAGGCAGCCGTCCTCAACTTGAAGCACCGGGAGCGTTTATCTTTTCCTGAGGCGAGGCGCCAGGTTCGCCGGCTCCCGCCTTATGCTAATATCTCTTATGCTCGCGTGTTGCGCTCTTCCTCTCCTCGTCCTTCCCGCCTTCCTCAGACTCACAACCGTTTCCAGGCCTTGGACCCTGATGCGCCCACTGCCCCCTCCTCTGTCCCTTTGGGTTCTTTCCCGAAGGATCCTCCTCCTGGTCCTCTGTCTGAGGTTCCCCTTCCTTCTACCCGGTCTGTCGTGTCTTCTGTGTCTTCTTCCTCGTCCCCCTCCGATCCTCCTTCCCATCCTCTTCCTCCATCAATCGGCTCTCCCCGCCGCCTGTCGGTGCGGGCGGATGTCCATCGCTCTCCTAACGGCCGTCGTGTGTGCTCTCGTTCGGCTTCTCCTGTTGAGACACTGGAATCCGTTGCCCGGTACGTAGTTGCTGGGACACCGGTCTCTTTAAGTCAGAAGCGTAAGCCTGGCTCCTCTCCTTCCTCTTCCCCGGCGGGTAAGAAGGCTTCGCTTTCTTCCTCAGCTCCTCCTTCTGGCTCTGTTGCTCCTTCCCCTCCCGTTTCAGTGCTTGCGCCCCCTGTTCCTGCTATGGAGGTTTCTTTGGCCCCTGCTTCCCTTTCGGTTGCTGCTCTTGCTGGGGTGCGCTCCTCTTTCTACTCCCCCTCTTCCTGCTGCTGTCCTTGACTGCTCCTCTCCGTTGTCTCCTCCTCCTCCTCCGGACCCTGCCCGCCCACCTCTGATCTGTTCTCCCGTTTCCTTCCCTCCGTCTTTGCTCAGTTTACCCATGCCCCCTAACCCTGACTTTGCTGACCCTGATCCCGACCCTGATATTCTTTAACGTGCTCTGTTGGTCTTTCGCCTTTGTTTCTTCCTTGTTCTCTGTTTTTGTCCTTTCTCTTCTCGTCGTTGTCCATTCTTCAATGGAACGTTCGAGGTTATTATGCCAATTTCCTCGAACTCCAACTTCTGGTTTCGCGGTTTTCGCCCCTTTGTGTCTGTCTCCAGGAGCCGATGCTTGGTGCTCGTCCTGGTCGTTTTCGTGGCTATTCCTTTCTCCCCCCCCCCCCCCCAGCCATTGCTGGGGCTTCTAATTCTTCTGCTCTCTTGATTCGGGCTGATGTTCCCTTTGTTCCTTTACTTTTTCCTTCGCCTCTCCATTGTTCTGCTGCTCGTATCTTTGTGGGGAAATGGTACACAGTTTGTTCCATTTATCTCCCCCCGAGTGTCCCGCTCTCTCTTCCTGATTTGAAACGCCACCTAGACTCCTTGCCGGAGCCTGTGCTCCTGCTGGGTGACTTCAATTGTCGTCATTCTCTTTGGGGTGACGTTCTGACGAATACCCGGGGTCGCCTCCTTGAGCCGTTTCTCTTCTTCCCTGTCTCTTCTGAATTCTGGTGAGCCCACTCATTTGGACTCTCGAACTCGCACCCTTTCTTGTCTTGATCTTTCTCTCTGCTCTTCTTCTCTTTACTTAGATTTCACATGGCAGGTTCTTGATGACCTCCATGGAAGTGATCATTTCCCCATCCTTGTTTCCTTTTTCTCTTTTCGCCCTTCCCTCTCTTTCCCTAGGTGGCAGTTTGCTAAGGCGGACTGGACCCTATTTTCCCTCAGTGCTACTCTCTCTGACCTCTCCCTTCTGCCCCTCTCTCGCGCTCTCCTCCTTTTTCATGACACTGTCTTCGACGCTGCCCTCCGCTCTATTCCTCGCTCTTCCTCTCGGGGTCCACGGAAGTGCGTTCCCTGGTGGAATGCGGACTGTGCTCGGGCTGTCCGCTGTAAGCGTGCAGCCTGGAAGAAGCACCGCCGTAGGCAGACGCCCGATTCTTTTCTTTTCTTTCGGAAAGCGAGTGCGGTGGCCCGTAGGGCCATCCGTACGGCTAAACGTGAATGTTGGGCATCTTATGTCTCGACAATTACGTCCGAAACCCCTCTGGCCCAGATCTGGAAGCGTATCCGCAAGATAGCGGGTAAGTTCGTTCCCGATGTTTCCCCGGTCCTTCACCTCCATGAT